CGCTAGCTCGCTCACTCACTCGCTCGCTCGCTCGCTCACTCACTCACTCCCTCGCTCACTGTCACTCACACTCACTCACTCGCTCACTCACACTCACTCACTCACTCACTCACACTCACTCACTCTCACTCACTCACACTCACTCACACTCACTCACACTCACTCACTCTCACTCACTCTCACTCACTCCCTCACTCTCACTCACTCACTCACTCATTCACTCGCTCGCTCACTCACTCGCTCGCTCGCTCGCTCACTCACTCACTCCTTCGCTCACTCTCACTCACACTCACTCACTCGCTCACTCACACTCACTCACTCACTCACTCACTCCCTCACTCCCTCACTCACTCACTCACTCACTCACTCACTCACTCACTCACTCCACTCACTCACTCACTCACTCACTCACCCACTCACCTTCACTCACCCACCTCACTCACACCATCACTCACCCACTCACTCACTCACTCCACTCACTCACTCACTCACTCACTCACTCACCCTCACTCATCTCACTCACTCTCACTCACTCTCACTCACTCTCACTCACTCTCATTCACTCACTCACCCCCACTCACTCACTCACCCTCACTCACACTCGCTCACATACTCACCCTCACTCACACTCGCTCACATACTCACGCTCAGTCACACTCACTCACACACTCACCCTCACTCACTCACCCACTCACTCTCATCTCCGCCGCTTTTGCGTGGCAGGCGTGGGGCAATCTCCACTGCCAAGGGGTCGGATGTACGCCCTGGCGTCCCTCTGGCGTTCCTTGGGCTCCGTCGCTTTTGCGTGGCAAGCGTGGGGCAATCTCCATTGGCAAGGGGTCTCGAATCTTTGTAAATTTACAGTTTGCCTTGATTTACGTAAATAGAAAAAATTAGGTAAATATTTACGTAAATTGGTTCGGAACCTAAATTTTTACTCTGCAACCTAAAATTCTTTTTTTATGTATATTTTTCAAGGTTTTTTGCTATGTTCTACTTGAGGTACTCATTTTTGTTTCAATATTTTTTGTATATTTTTGCTAATTGCGTCTATATGTTTTTCTTTGCTGTGAACAATATGTGACATAACTTGGTAATATGCGACATAACCTGTTAAATTTTACAACTGAAATATTATAAATGGTTTGAAATTTTATTTTGTTTTATTTTTGTCACATGTAATTTTATTTTGTTTCTTGCCACACCTAATTTCACAAGTAAGCAGCATTGTGTCACACAGGAAGATAGGTCCTTAAATCAAAGGTGCCTTAAGGGAGCTGATATGGTATATTTTTTTTGGGGAAGTTGAAGGAAGTACAATTTATATGGTATATTTTTTGGGGGGGAAGCTGAAGGAACTAAAATTTCACCTGTCAAACATATTTTGTTTGAAAGTAAAGATCTTGAACACTGCTTTGCTTTGGCCCTTTTTTCCGGAAGCATCCCTAGAGGTACTTCCCAAACAACCTTACATTGGAAAGGAATTCCTTTTGGAAGCTTACATGAGGTATAAGTGGAGATACCTTATACTTGTCAGGAACTACTTGTGGCAGTTTATATACAAGAATATATGTAGATGACTTCCAACCAACATTTCCTTTGAAAGAATCTTCTTTTGGAAGTTTGCACAAGGTATCTGTGGAGATACCTTACATACATGCCAGAGATTTACTTTTGGAAGTTTACATGAGATATCTATGAACATACTTTTGAATTGAAGTTTGCTGGATGGAATTTACTTTTGGAAGTTTTCAGAATGTTCTTGTAGGCAAAGACACATAGTGATTCAAGTGCCAAATGCTATTGGAAAAATGTATGTGGAAAATCCAAAACTGTTTCAAGTATCCTCAGGTATTTGCCTGCAAGAAAGGATCATGTTTCAAATGTTATGGGTGCTTGATTTTACTTGACACTTCATTCAATTAACTTTATTTGACGCTCTATTCAACTGACATTACTTAAGGCTGCATCCACTTGGCTTTACATGGGGCTGCACATTCAACTGACTTTATTTGAGAGTGCATCCAATATGTTTTCTTTGAAACTGACTGCCTGTCAATTTACCTGATGCTGCTTTCCAAGGAAATTCCCTGAGATTGCATTGATTTATTTTTGCTTCAGTCATCTGGGAGTCAGTCAGACTGAGAAGTATCTACAAAACCTGGAGGTACCCCTACTCATATTTCTATGAATTTCTTACCAAATCAGTTCAAACCTCTTATGCACTTTTGATGCACTTTTGATGCACTTTCAAAAAGTTCATGAACTTTTGCCAAAAGTTCATGAACTTTTTGAAAGTGCATCAAAAGTGCATCAAAAATGCATCCACAGCGCACCAAAAGTGCATCAAAAGTGCATCATAAGTGCATCAAAATTGCATCAAAAGTGCACCAAAAGTGCATCAAATATTTGGCACTTTTCTTACTTGAGATTTACATGTGATGCTCTTGGAATTGTACAGATGCTTACTTGTGAACACAAAAAGAAGTTATTATTGTTTTGTTTAAAAACTCTTTGCTTGAGATTTACATGTGATGTTCTTGGATCTGTACAGATGCTTCCCATGACATTTGTCAAGACTGCCTTGAACTAACCAACTAAATTTGCAAGACATTTGGCCAAACAATGAGTCAAGAGTTATTCATCACTTTGTTGACCAGAGATATTTCAACAGTTAAAACTAATTTGGAAACTCACCTCTGGAAATGAACCAATAGTGCAAAGCTTCAACCATTTCATCCTAGTTTGTCAACTTACATGTGCTTACTTGAGATGACTAATATAGATCATGATCCTAGCCTGCCATAAACCATGAAGACACTGCAAACACAATTAAAAGCAACTATTAAGTAACTCACAAGTAAGCCACAAGTCAAACTGAATCCACAAGTAATACACAAGTCACAGGTATGTCTCAAGTAAGATGGAAAACATAACTCGTGCAGTTGAGGAATGCCACAGGTAACATTCACAAGTAAGTCTCAAGAAAGTCTCAAGTAAGTCTTGAGTGAATGTCAAGGCTACCAACATCCCCTACCAGTACGAGACTAAGGGTACGCCCTGGCGTCCCTCTGGCGTTCCTTGGGCTCCGCCGCTTTTGCGTGGCAGGCGTGGGACAATCTCCACTGCCAAGGGGTCGGATGTACGCCCTGGCGTCCCTCTGGCGTTCCTTGGGCTCCACGGCTTTTGCGTGGCAGGCGTGGGACAATCTCCGCTGCCAAGGGGTCGGATGTACGCCCGTCGCTTTTGCGTGGCAGGCGTGGGACAATCTCCGCTGCCAAGGAGTCGGTTGTACGCCCTGGCGTCCCTCTGGCGTTCCTTGGGCTCCGTCATGCTCCGTCGCTTTTGCGTGGCAGGCGTGGGACAATCTCCAACTGCCAAGGGGTCGGATGTACACCCTGGCGTCCCTCTGGCGTTCCTTGGGCTCCGTCGCTTTTGCGTGGCAGGCGTGGGACAATCTCCACTGCCAAGGGCTGGCGTTCCTTGGGCTCCGCCGCTTTTGCGTGGCAGGCATGGGACAATCTCCGCTGCCAAGGGGTCGGATGTACGCCGGCGTTCCTTGGGCTCCACCGCTTTTGCGTGGCACGCGTGGGACAATTTCCACTGCCAAGGGGTCGGATGTACGCCCTGGCGTCCCTCTGGCGTTCCTTGGGCTCCGCAGCTTTTGCGTGGCAGGCGTGGGACAATCTCCGCTGCCAAGGGGTCGGATGCACGCCCTGGCGTCCCTCTGGCGTTCTTTGGGCTCTGCAGCTTTTGCGTGGCAGGCGTGGGACAATCTCCGCTGCCAAGGGGTCGGATGCTCGCCCTGGCGTCCCTCTGGCGTTCTTTGGGCTCCGCCGCTTTTGCCTGGCAGGCGTGGGACAATCTCCACTGCCAAGGGTCGGATGTACGCCCTGGAGTCCCTCTGGCGTTCCTTGGGCTCCGCTGCTTTTGCGTGGCAGGCGTGGGACAAGCTGCGTTTTCACTCTCACTCTCACTCACTCCCTCTCACTCTCACACTCCCCCTCACTCACTCACTCACTCCCCCCCCCCCCCCCCCCCCTTCACCACCACGCACCACTCGCCACACGCTCACACTCTCACACCGGTCACACACTCTCACACTCTCACACTCTCACACTCTCACACTCTCACACTCTCACACTCTCACACCCTCACACTCTCACACTCTCACACCCTCACACCCTCACACTCTCACACTCTCACACTCTCACACTCTCACACTCTCACACTCTCACACTCTCACACTCTCACACTCTCACACTCTCACTCATACTCTCACTCACTCTCTAACCTGCCAGTTTGGCTCCGCCACACACACACATCACTCACTCACATGTTACCAACAAAGGAAAGATATATAGGATATATAGATAGATGGATAACAGGATAGATAGATGAATAGACATAGACAGTGACATCGAGTTTCGCATACGGGTGCACGGCAAGGTGCTCGGTGAGAAAGCTTGTACACGTCATTGTTGCTTTCCGGTTGTCATAACTGTGTGCATGTTTTCTGGATGATAAGCAGTCCGGTTGGGAGCTCGGTGACAGCGAGGTTCGCATACGGGTGCACGGCAAGGTGCTCAGTGAGAAAGCTTGTCCAAGTCATTGTTGCTTTCCGGTTGTCATAACTGTGTGCATTTTTTCTGATGATTGAAGTGATGAGATTTGAAAGTGAGAATTGTGAGGATAGGCAGAGTGAGTATGCCGAATGCTTGCGACGTGATCCGGGTGCGTGGCCAGGTGCTCAGTGAGAAAGCTTCTACAAGTCATTGATGTCATTGCTGATTTCCGGTTGTCATGCCTGTGTGCATGTTTTGTGGGATGATTGAACCGATGAGATTTGAAAGTGGTACCTTTGTAAGCTTCAAATTGGTGAGCGAACAGTCTTAGATGTTAGCGGAGGTCATTGTGATGACAGTGCGGTGGCTGCAATGGGATGAGGCAGAGTGAGTTTGCCCACTGCATGGGAATTGATTGAGGTCAGACAGCATCTGATGAGTCCACCCGACAGGCAATCGAATCTGCCCCATTGCCGCTTGAACAATGGTTGTCCTGTGGCGCCATTGAATCGGATGACCGTGGATGCGCATCTCGGACTGGTCTCCGTGTGCAAGGTGGATGCAAACTTTTTGCGTGCCTTGGTGTGCTTCAACAACGTGAAGTTGCCAGATGAAGAGGCAGTGCAGCAAGACAATTCAGCCACCTCGGCCATGCGAGTGAAGAGATCCTTTGATTGCCTTTTGTCGAACGAGGACACATCTCCTTTCCGAGTGAAACTTCGCATGGCTGGCCCGGCCTCGGTCGTCAACTGGATGCTCCAGGGCCGCACCGGAGAAATCCATCAAGTGGTCTTGGCCCAGATGGAGAAGATCGGAGAGTGGAGTGTGCTCTGGCAGGTACCTGTGGATGCAGCAGCCAAGGACACCGTCGTGAACTACTTTCACCAACTCGCCACGGCAGAGCTGGCAGTAGATGAACCCCTTACCTTTGAACCCAAATGGACGCCTGTCAAGAGGCTGCATTTCGTCAGGGACAACATGCCTGAAGAGGCGGGTAGCTCCAAAGCTTGGCTGAATACTTTACCGGCACCATCTGAAGGCTCAGCCTCCCAATGCGACGAAGCGATGTAAGCTGCTGTTTGCGGCGCAGCAATCAGTCGGAGATTGGTCTTGAAGCGTCCTGCTGATTTTCCTAGCTCCGCATGCTTGTGCAAGCATGCCAAGTCGCAGCCACCCAACGCGACGAAAAGATGAGCGCCTGTGTTTGCTCCGCAGCAGTCAGTCGGAAACTGGTCGTCTTAAGCGTCCTGCTGATTTTCCTAGCTCCGCGTGCTGTGGGCAATGAGGCATAGAGATTTCTCGCGTTTGACGGTTTGACGGCTAAATTTTCGTCAGGTTTGTCCAAATTTAACGCAACTTGTTGACCTCGCTGACCAGAAAAAACGTATAGCTCTTCAGAAGCAGCGCACGGCGACGTATCACCTCAGCTCATTCAGATTGGTTGCTTGTCAGCTTCTCATAGCTTGTTTATTCATGCCTTGTCTGCTCAGGTCATGCTCTTCAGAAGCAGGGCACGGCGATGTATCAACTCAGCTCATTCAGATTGATTGCTTGTCAGCTTATCATGGCTTCTTTATTCATGACTTGTCTGCTCAGGTCATGATGCTGGTCTATGGCACTTGGACCACTCACTCTCACTCACTCACTCCCTCTCACACGCTCACTCCCCCACTCCCTCTCACTCTCTCACTCCACTCACTCACTCACACTCACTCACCCACTCGCTCACTCTCACTCGCTCACTCTCCCTCACTCACACACACCACACTCACATCACTCACTCACAGTCTCACTCACTCACCTGTGCATGCAGATACATACACACGCACAAACTCACCCACCATCACCCCTCCATCACTCTCATACTTCCTCTTCCCTTGTTGCTTTTCTATGCTCAGTCTAAGTCTAGAGAGGTTGATAACATATGGGGTTATCCGGTCCTATATATTTTTTTTTCAAGATAGAACTTGGCGGCCACTTTGGCAGCCACTTGCCAGCCAATTGCTCATGCAACCACTTGCTGAGGCAGCCACTTGCCAGCCACTTAGCAGCCAGTTGCTGCAAACTTGAAAGAAAAGTAAAATCTACAAAATCACTTGTTTTTTCAAGATGGCACTTGGCAGCCACTTGGCAGCCACTTGGCAGCCACTTGCTGCAAACTTGAAAAAACAAGTGAAATCTACAAAATCACTTGTTTTTCAAGATGGCACTTGGCAGCCACTTGGCAGCCACTTGGCAGCCACTTGGCAGCCACTTGGCGGCCACTTGGCAGCCACTTGGCAGCCACTTGGCAGCCACTTGCTCAAGCAGCCATGTGCCATCCATTTGGCAGCCATTTGCTGCAAACTTGAAAAAAAGTAAAATCTACAAAATCACTTTTTTTCAAGATGGCACTCGGCAGCCACTTGGCAGCCACTTTGCAGCCACTTGCTCGGTCAGCCACTTGGGAGCCACTTGCTTCGTCAGCCACTTGGCAACCACTTGGCAGTCACTTCACAAACACTTGGCAAGTGGCTGCCAAGTGGCTGACCGAGCAAGTGGCTGCCAAGTGGTTGCCAAGTGGCTGACCGAGCAAGTGGCTGCAAGTGGAAAATCAAAATGATGCACGTTTGCTCGCTCTCTGGACATCTACCTGTGTTTGGCGTGGCAGGCGTGGCACTTGTTGGCTTGGTCGCCGTTGGTCGCCGTTGGTCGCCGTTGGTCGCCGTTGGTCGCCAGAGGTGCCGTGCCACTTTGCATGGCAGGCGTGGCACTTGGAGACATCTACTTTCACGTGGCTGGCGTAAATGGAGAATCTTGGAGACATCTACCTGCGTTTGGCGTGGCAGGCGTGGCACTTGGAGACATCTACCTGCGTTTGGCGTGGCAGGCGTGGCACTTGTTGCACTTGGTGTCGCGCTTGGTCGCCGTTGGTCGCCGTTGGTCGCCGTTGGTCGCCGTTGGTCGCCCCGGTCGCCGCGCCACTTTGCGTGGCAGGCGTGGCACTTGGTGACATTCACCTTCGTTCTGCGTGGCAGGTGTGGCACTTGGAGACATCTACCTGCGTTTGGCGTGGCAATCGTGGTACTTGTCCGTTTCACGTCGCAGTCGTGGCACTTGGAGACATCTACCTTCGGTTCACGTGGCAGGCGTGGCACATGGAGACATCTACTTGCGTTTGGCGTGGCAGGCGTTGCACTTGGAGTCATCTACCTGCGTTTGGCGTGGAAGGCGTGGCACTTGTTGCACTCGGTGGCGCGCTTGGTCGCCGTTGTTCGCCGTTGGTCGCCCGGGGCGCGGCGCCACTTTGCGAGGCAGGCGTGGACATCTACTTGCGTTTGGTCTGGCAGGTGTGGCACTTGGAGACATCTAGTCTACCTGCGTTTGGCGTGGCAGGCGTGGCACATTGGCGTGGCAGGCGCGGCAACTTTGTCATATCATATACCATCTTTCTCACACCAACTCACTCACACAACTTTGTCTGTCACACACCATCTTTCACACACCATCTCACTCACACAACTTTGTCACACACCATCTTTCTCACACACAACTTTGTCACAGGCCATCTTTCTCACAACACCATCTTTCACACGCCATCTCACTCACACAACTTTGTCACACACCATCTTTATCACACACAACTTTGTCACACACTATCTTTCTCACGTCATCTCAGTCACACAACTTTGTCACACACCATCTTTCTCACACCATCTTTCACACACCACTTTGTCACCCACCATCTTTGACACACCATCTTTCACACACAACTTTGTCACACACCATCTTTCACACACAACTTTGTCACACACCATATTTCACCACACCATTTTTCACACACAGCTTTGTCACACACACCATCTTTCTGTGTCACACACCATCTCATCTTTCACATACAACTTTGTCACACACACACACAACTTTGTCACACACACACAACTTTGTTTTACTTCTCGATCCTCCACCACCTCCTTTGTCTTTCCTTCCTTCCCCGTCCCCGCTACAACATATGGTACTCATTATTGGAAGAAGTTGCCTTGTGGGGTTATCCGGTCCTTTAATTTTGGTTCCTGGTTGTTGGAAATGTTTGATATATCATTTCGGACTAATCATGCTGGAGCGTTGAAAGGCGAGCCTAAATCATGTCAACAAATACGTTCATATTCGAATCTATTCTTACATATTTGGCACGTGTGCTTTGATTATCCTAAAGCTGCCGCAGATGCTTCGGACAGAAAAATGCTACAAGACACTGATGCTGCATGTTGCATTTCTTGCAGTAGAACAATTTTGTAGAACGATGCATTCCCCAGTGGTCCCGGGTGTCGAGTGCAGGCAAGCTCTCAGAAACGGCCTGGAGGAGAAATCATTGCGATCCCGTTCGTTGTTTCGAGAAAGTGTGATCAGAGTGCAAGCTCGGGCAAAAAGAAAAATCAGAAGGCACTGAAGAGAACCCCTCTTTCCTGTGTGAATATCTCTTCCCCAAAACAGTGTGGCCACACTTGGGCTTCTTACGGTAGGAGTTAAGGTCCGGTGTTCGTTCAAATTTGGTGACCCTTACAGCACAAAAGTCCCCTTGTGAGATGTCCATGTCCATTTCGACTGCGCAGGCTCGCACAAACCGCGTGTCGCGGAGGTCTCTTTCGAAGGTATCTCATTGAGCTATGTCCATTTTTCGTGGCAGGCGTTACACTTTCGGGACATGCTGCGGTGTAGGGTAAAGCGTCGTTTTGCGTGACACGTGCAGGACATCGGGCACTTGTTCATTCGCGCTGCGGGCCTGGCACTTCTTAAATAATCCCGTTTTTTGATGTTTTTTGTAACTAGTTACAGTATGTAGAGTTATGTTAGTTGTGTTGAGTTAACACTTAGTTTGCTAACTAGTTATATCTCTTGCTAACTCTTTTTTTGGTATTGCTAATTTTCAAAAAAAGCAATCCGGGCTCAAGAAAAATCAATCCTGGACGACAAAAAATCAGAATCCCCTGCATGATTTATTGCAAAGTAGGAGATTCAATGCAAAACATATCAATTTATTGGGAAAAACATGGTAGCCATTTGGTTTTAAGTTGTTGGTGCAGGTTTTCGTATGTCATATGTTCAGCTGTGTGGAAAAAGGACAAGCAATGCACAATGCAATGCCATTCAAAGGAAAGCAACACAGCGGTATGTATATAATGCCTTGGGCTGGTGAAATGCCACAAAGGCTGTTGTGATTGCAACGCCATATATGTAGGCAAAGTAATGCCAAAGGGCTATCAAAAGAAAAGCAGCCATGCATGCAAACATGGCTGTAGGCAGCTGTTGTCTTTTTCCAGCCAACTGCAATTTTTTTGCTGTAAATCTGATAAGGCAAAAGCACTTTGGCTTCTGCTTGGCTTTTGTGGCAAATGAGGGGCACCAATATGTCTGCAGTGGGCACAAATCCCAAGTTCTGGTCAAGCAGTGCATGTGGCAAATGGCTGGTGTGGCACCCATTCCTTGACCTGCAAGGCTTTGACCAAGGTGGTGAAAGCTCCACGGAAACGAAAATGTAATTTGATTTCTGCAAGTCCCATGGTACCAGCTGTTTGGTAAACCACAACATCATCCTTGTGACACTCAGCATGTTTAACATGGTTGATTCTGGCACATTGGCTGCTCATGGCTTCTTTCATTTCTTCACCAATCAAGCTGGACAAAGTTTGCAAAGTTTTTTTTGAAGCTTTCACTGGGCGAACCAAATGGACACCATCTTGGAAAGATCTGCTGTGTCCAAATGGCAGATCTCTTGGGCAAGGGCTTGCTCCAGCAAGTTGGCCTCAAATTTTTCTGGTTCAGGAAGGCTTGGGCCAGAGCCCCTATTGGTTATGTTTTCTTTCATTGGCAAAGCAGGAAGGAAGAAATCCAAATCTCTGGGCGGTGTCTGGCATGTGGAATTGCCAGTGCCACTTCTTTATCAAAGATAGTTCAGGAAAGGCTGGGTGAAAACTTTGGATGGCCTGTTCTACTGCTGGTAACAAAGTGGTTCTGGTGATGAGGCCAGCTTGGTTTCCATCATGGACTTGGTCAATGAGAGCTGCCATTGCAAGAAAAGCTTGGCAAGCTTCAGGTTTATGACCTGTGGGCATTGCTACACTGTGGATAAAATGCCTGATGATTGGAAGCACGGCCAAACACTCAGAAGCCTGGAAGGATTTTTTCCATTTTGCTGCTTATGGCTGGTCATTTTTTCTTGGAAAAGTGGCTGCCAATGTGTTGGCTTTTCCAACTCCTGGGAAAAACCCAATGGGCAAAATAGCCTTCTAGAAATTGGTAAATGTGGAGGATCTCCTCCATGGCAGACATGAAGTGAACGAGGACTCCATGCATATACACTCTAGTGATTAAACGTAGCAACCACTTTCCAATGAAAACTCGGGAAAATTGCTAAGTTAAATAGCAGGATAAAGTGCCAGTATGCAACCATGTAGGTTGCCATGTTAGCTATGATTTTTACGCTTTGGATTCGCCGGCCATCCCCAAGAGATCCCCCAGATGACGCCAATCCATCCCATCCACAGCCATTGGATCACAAGTGGGACTT